AGCTGGATGTACACAGCAGGCCAAGCAGCATCAGAGGAGCAGAAAGGCTGATGTTCTGATGAAGGGTCTAAGCCCGAAACGTCAGCCTTTCTGCTCCTCTGATGCTGCTTGGCCTGCTGTGTTCATCCAGCTCTGCACCTTGTTGTCTTCTATTTTTTGGTCAGTATTTTTATGACAAACGTATGGAGTTCTCACAAATATTATGCATTTTCACACATTGGACACATCCAACAGCAGCTCCACTATACAGCAGGAAACAAATACTTTCAATTGCATGATACATGTAGAACATCCTATATAGACAAGGATTTTGTTTTGTCCTACCTATGTCACTGGAGAGGGAAATAAAGACAGAATAGTTTTTCAAAATTTCTTCTCTGTCAGTTCATCACAAAAATGAATCCAAACAAATGATTTTCTGATTCCTGAGACTTCTTCATTTTCTGTGGCGCTTGAAATGATAGCAATTGTTTTAATATACAACTTACCATACAGTTCAATGAATAATTAATCAGTTGAACTGTAAGATTTCAGAATTTAGCATGATTGTAAATGAGTGATTCACCTGCATGTTGTCTTCAAGATTAAATGATTCTCAATGCATTTTTGTTGGTCCTGGCTATCCTTATTTGCATGAATTTATAACAAAAGCAGAAGCAACATCGCCTTCATCTGAAAAGGTGACATGAATGCAATTTTGCTTAAATATTTGTACTTACATTCCCACACTCAGCAACTGTAAAGGCAGAAAGGCAACACACTCTAATGATATCTCTACATGATCAATGGTGGTCTAAAGATAGAAAAGGAACAGAATAAAAATAAAAGGGAGAACTCAATACCTAAAAGTAGAAGCTACAGCTGTTCTCATTTCACAGAAGATAGATAAAAAGAGCTTTAATTGAGGTGTTCAAAATAATGCCAGGTGTTGAAAGAATACATAGAAAGAACTTCTTCCCATTGCCAGAAGATCTGAGAACCAGAGGACCCCAAATTAAGCTGTTTGCAAATGAACCAACAGTAACATGAGGTTTTTTTTTTTACTCAGCTAGTGGTCAAGATTTGAAATGCACAAATTCAGCAGAGGCAGATACAATCATAATTTCAAAAAGAAGTTAGATAAGCCCCGAGGAGAAAACAGTTGCAGGATTGTGGAGAAAGGGGAGGAGTGTGAGACAAGCAGGGAAAAACAGGCAAAGTGTACTATGCTCTAACTATTATATCATTTTGGGGAGGGAAAAAAACCTAGTAAAAGGAAAAGGAAATAAAATTGGGTCAGAAATTACTGTCTGAAACTTAAAACTCTTGTTGAGTCTGGAATGCTGTAGAACGCCTAATCGAAAG